CCCTTTAGCTTGCTCTAAGTTGACTGTTGAAATAATCACCACATCTTTTAGGTATTGCATTATATGAGGTGATTTCAAAGCAGTGAGTAACCTGTCTATCTTTCCAGCTTGGATGACAGAGAGGGTCACCTGCCAATCAACGAGCAAAACTGATGGAGATGGACTAACGTCCTGGAGACGTCCCATTTTGGATTTAATTACCTGTGCACCTGTATGAAATTGCAGGACGTAACCCCACATCATTGCAGCGGTAAAGAACCTGCTTTCCTGTCATCAGGATAGAATACTCAGGGCGATACTCTCTGAAGAACTAGCCGGTGGTGGTCACCAACACCTGCGACCCCCCCCCCCCCCCCCACATCAGCAACGGCTAAGATTTCAGCAACACGAAGTGTCACCAACACCAGACACCCCAATATATATATTAACGTTGAGTTCAAATGTTATTTTATTCATTTCATTTTTCATTTTTCTTTCAAATAGGATGTACCTGTCATTTTTTATTGTTTTATGTTTGCTTTAATAAATAATAAAGTGTTTATCTTTGTTAATTATTATTTCGTTTTCTATTCATTAATTTTCCTGAGGAGGAGCCAGCTTTGGTAATACTGTCTGAAGTTATTACAGAGCTGAGTAAGCCTTCACATTCATCTGTATTGTTGTGTGCACTAATACCATTGTGTGTGCTTGTACCATTGTGTGCACTAGTACCATTGTTACATACAATATGATTATTTTCAGATGAGTTCAAAGAGCAAAACTGGAGTCTGGGTAATGTCATTAGATACTTTCCTGCCATATTCCTGCATCGTGTGTCCTCCTGATACTGATGGTGTGGATGGTGCGGTTGTGTGCACCGTGGCTGCCCCCTTGGAGCATGCTACACACCATGGTGTAGTTATTGCAAACAATGAACAAGATATTAACAAAATGGAGTATAGAATGCCACTAGATGAATTGAGTAAGTATTACATTATATACAGTTGACTGTCAGAAAACAAATGATCTGGTAACACATTTTTGCTATAACACAGTTGCAAAATTACAGCATATTTTCAGTGTACACATCATAAAAAAATAATTTACATGGTGGAGTGCATGTATGGGAAAATGTCGCATGCACTGCATTCTTTCCCCTCTGTCTGTCTCACAGTGAGCCTCAGTGTGAGTCCATCATCTTAGTGGCTAGTGGGTGAGGATGGGATACTGGGTAAGGAAGGGTGGATGAAAGTCTGAGTGAAGGAGTGAGAGTGGCCTGTGGGGGCATGCTGTCACTGTTGTCCTGTGTTCCTTCACCCATTGTGCTTCCCATGTGACACTGGAGCATATAGTCAGATGGGCACTGGGATGGGGATGGGTAAAGGCAGGTGAATAAGGATATGTGGGTGAAGATATGTAGGTGAGGGGTGAGTGTTTAGGAGAGGTGTGTGAAAGTTTAGGGAGATGTGGGGCCAAGAAATATTTTTTAAGGGAAGGAAGTGTGGAGGGAGAGTATGGGTGAAGGAGGGGCCTGATTTTGGGGTGAAGGTGTCAGCCCTAGTCTCCTGCCTTAAAAACCATATTTAAATGCTATATTCTACACACCCTTCCCATACCCCCCAACACATTGCCCACCCCACTGCTTCTTAAACCCCTTCCCTACCCCTTTTTAGCCACATGTCTTCATTGTGCTTTCAGAACCTCACCATATGTCACAACCCTATCCATACCCCCACCCTATTATTCCCCCCACACCACCCCCTTTCTCCACACCATCCATCCAAAAACCTCCACCCCCCACAAAACCCCTATGGCCACACGCCCTTCACCCACCCTCAAAACCCAAAACCACCCACACACTCCCCTCACATACAATTACCCCTCCCCCCCATCCACAAGCATGCACCATTCCTCCACTGCCTCAAGCCCATCCTTGTCCAACTTCTTCCCTTTCATACCCCCCCCCTTCGGGCCCTTTTTCACCTAACATGCCACCCAGTACTTAATCACCCACCTCCCTTATTACCTCTCACCCCCCAACAACCACCAAACCCGCACACTCACCCACCATAGTCGCTTCCCTTTCAAATACCTACTTAATGCAAATTTTCATACACATCCGTACCTACCTCCCCACACATATCTGCCCACCCCATCTGCTTTTTAAACCCTCCCCCTCCCCCTCTTTACCACATGTCTTCGTTGTGCATTCAGCAACCTCACCATAGCTCACAACCCTACAACCACCAGCCCCTTTTATTTCCCACAGTCACTATCATCCAATCAACCACCCACCCAAATAAAAATCCCCAATCCCACCACACTGGGCCACCAACACCCACACCTTTTCCCCACCCCCTTCCCCAACAGTTAAATTTGAGCCCATGCAGCCTCCCACCCCTTTCCCCTACTTTTATTTTTTCACCACTTCCCCTCCACAGTTCAAGCCCACACATCCCCACCCACACCTTTCCCCATGTTTTCACGCCCCACACACTTGTCACAGGGCCCACCCCCCCACCCGATTACACCCATGCCAAAAACCCATACTTTCACCCACCCATCAGTCACCCCCTACATTGCCCCCACATGATCACCATCACACCACCCGTTGTCCCCAACCCTTTACCCCCAACATCCCTCCCCCTGCACAGATCCGCACCCCCCCAATACCAGCTTCCACTTGCTTTGACCTGTTACCATTTGGTCTTCACCTACCTCAGCAACAGTCCCCCAGTCCCCACCCTCATTCCCCCCCCCACACCAAACCCCCTCACCCCCAACCACTTAACCCTCCTCTGTAACCCTAACTACTTTGGGATTAAAAAAGTGGTTATATAATCTTTGACTGACCCCAACCACTTGACCTACAATTACATTATTTTCATTTTTTTTTTTTTTTTTTTTCTATTTTTAAGCTTTTTATTTTTACTATTTTAAAACTTTTTGGGGGTTAAATAACTTTAACCCCCAATTTTTTTCCCATGTTCTTTATTTTTTTTACGACATTTTTTATTACACACCCCGTTTAGGAAGTAACTATGTGTTCCAACAGCAGCTGTAATGCAAAACTTTTGAAATAAAAAAATTCTAATGGACTTTAATTTTTTACTTCTAAAAAGTACAGGGACCCTCAATAATGGGGAGTGTAAAGGGAAAAATTATCAAAAGGCGCTCTTTGGCGTAAAAAAAGGTTTACCAACGGCGAAAAAACGTCTAAAAGACTTCGTCCCCAATTATCCGGGCCCGGAGTGTGGCCTGAGTGGGCCCAGCCACTCCAAGACTCCATGTACAGCCAGTTTTGCAGTGTTTACAAGCGTTTTCGGTCGATTCCATGTGTACCTGCAATATATTTTGTATTATTCCAGTGTCTTTAGTGCTTGTAACTGCTAAATAAGCCCCCAGGGGCCCCCAAAAAAAGTTTCTAGTCCCCAGCCCTGTGTAAAGAGGGAAAGAAACACAACAAATTCAAGAAAAACTTGTAGCAAAGTACCAAAGTGGAGGACGACGAGAGAGGAGAGAATGTGCCTTCTGCAGTGATTCAGTGATTCTACGATATGTTCGATACTAAAGCAGCAGGTATTGATAAAGGCTATAGTCCCAGCCAGCAATAAAGTGTAGAATTAAAAGAGAAGCAAGTAAGTTAAATGAGTAAGCGCTAGAAAAACGACAGGGAAAGCCACTCTCCAATGTTGTTGGATGTGTGTACATCCGATGAACATACACCGGCCTGCTATCCTCCACTACCCTAAACCTCTGCCAGCATCTCCTCCATCAAACTAACTAATTAAACTAACATCTCCAAGGTAAGTGTAAATATAAAAGTGTAAGCATAAAAGTAAATATTCTTTCAACAAGCTGGCCGTATCCCACCGAGGCGGGGTGGCCCAAAAAGTAAAACGAACGTTTCTCTTTTTAAATTTAGTAATTTATACATGAGAAGGAGTTACTATTCCCTTGCTCCTGGCATTTTAGTCGCCTCTTACAACACGCATAGCTTACGGAGGAAGAATTCTGTTCCACTTCCCCATGGAAATAAGAGGAAGAAAACAAGAACAAGAACTAGAAAGAAAATAGCAGAAAACCCAGAGGGGTGTGTATATATATGCTTGTACATGTACGTGTAGTGTGACCTAAGTGTATGTAGAAGTAGCAAGACATACCTGAAATCTTGCATGTTTTCTTTCTTTCAACACACTGGCTGTATCCCACCGAGGTGGGGTGGCCCAAAAGGAAAAATGAGAGTTTCTCCTTTTACATTTAGTAATATATACAGGAGAAGGGGTTACTAGCCCCTTGCTCCCGGCATTTTAGTCGCCTCTTACAACACGCATGGCTTACGGAGGAAGAATTCTGTTCCACTTCCCCATGGAGGTAAGAGGAAATAAACAAGAACAAGAACTAGAAAGAAAATAGAAGAAAACCCAAAGGAGTGTGTATATATATGAGTAGTGTGACCTAAATGTAAGTAGAAGTAGCAAGACGTATCTGAAATCTTGCATGTGTACGAGACAGAAAAAAAAGACACCAGCAATCCTACCATCCTGTAAAACAATTACAGGCTTCAGTTTTACACTCACCTGGCAGGACGGTGGGCTATTTTGCCCACTTTAAGCCCTATTTTCAGCATATTCCATTGTTCCTGTCGACCAAACTCATACTATTTCTTTAGAACTCCATTTCTTCTATCGATTGAGTACAAGAAACTGCCCATCTACCGATTTAAACTACCCAATAAAATGGTCAGAAATTTGCATGGCCAATTTCATGCAAATTAAAAAAGATGCCAATTTCAAAATAGGGACCAGAATGAACAATGCAGACATTTCTGGCTCTAAAATAACATTTTCTTGTTCATCAGTCACGTCTCCAGGCCCCTCTGATATTACTCTTGCTTTCTATTTTGAATTTTTATTCAAACAAAAAATAGATTTACTGTTATGCAGACTACTGCAATATTGTAATAATTGTATAAATAATGTCAACTCATTCATAACTGCATATTAGAATGGCTAGTTGGACATTTATTGGACAACGACATCATTTGTTTACTCTCGAACATCTCCAAAAATCAAACATTTCCCCCACTTTGAGCTCCATTCCAAGGTCCTTTTTCAAAGTAAAACCAATCAAAATCATCTCTCTTTCTGTAATATGTTTTCCATTCTATCAAATGAGACCAAGAAAACGAGAATACAGCCATAAATACTATACAGAAATACACCTCAAAGTTGGCGTTTTAATCCAAAAACACAGTCGGAGTTTTTTTTTCTCATTATGCACTTCATGCTGCAGGATTTTTTTATACAGTGCACACTGACCACACAGACCCATTCTCTCACATGTGGGCCTACCAGCTTTCTCCCGCTTGATTTGAAGCTGCTAGAATTTTTGAATATACATACGTCAAACACATTGGCTCGTAAGACATGTATATATGACCGAAACAGTCAAAGGGTTAAAGTCAGTAATAATCCAACAACAAGCTGCAGTGCAAACAATTGCACATTGCACAGCTAGACAACCCCTTCTCCCCCACTTTTCAAAGCCCTAAACCTACTCGCCATACAAAACATCCACTCGGACTTACTTCTGTGCAAACTACATTAACAGAACAATCAATTCTCATGTAAATCCTGTCAGTTGCAGTAATACCCATTGCCACAATGACAGACACAAAAATCTCTATGACATTTCCCCTGTCAGGTTAAATCTTTTCAAAAACTCAGTACACATAAAAGAACCCATAATCTGGAACACACTGCCAGAAATCTCCAGAACCACTGGCTCAACTAACATTTTTGAAATTACAGTTAGAAAACACCTTATCTCCTTAACCTATCCTAGCCCATCATAAATAATATTTTAAAAACCTTTACGTGCTTTTCCCTCAATTCAGCCAATTCCATGTTCCAATTTCACAAAATTCAAAAATTGCCAATTTGAAAATAAGGTCCATAAACAATGTAGACATTTCTAACACTAAAAATGCAGTTTCTCCGTTCATTATTTACATCCTCAGGCCTCTCTTACATTACGCTTGCTTTCATTTTGAATTCTTATTCACACTACTGTCCCAACTACTGGACCACTATGACAGGGTCCTGGATGCTCTAGACGACAAACAAAATGCAGATGTAGTATACACAGACTTTGCAGATGGATCTATAATTTCCTAACAAATAGAACACAAAAAGTAGTAGTAAACAGAGTAAAGTCTGAGGTGGCTACTGTGAAATGCTCTGTTCCACAAGGCACAGTATTAGTTCCCATCCTGTTCCTCATCCTCATATCTGACATAGACAGGGATGTAAGCCACAGGACTGTGTCATCCTTTGCAGATGACACCCAAATTTGCTTGACAGTGTCCTCTATTGAAGATACTGCAAGACTCCAGGCAGACATTAACCAAATTTTTAAATGGGCCTCAGCAAACAATATGAAGTTCAATGATGAAAAATTTTGATTACTCCAATGTGGAAAATGCGGGGAAAATTAAAAACTATATCGATTAAAAAACAATTCCCAACCACAAAAAGGGGAAAAAACTAATGTAAAAGACCGGGAAAGTGATAATGTCAGAGGATTCGCCTTCAAAGACCACAAACTTGTATCATCGCTTGCTAGAAAAGATGGTGGATAATGAGAACCTTCAAAACTAGGGATCCCAAGCTAAATGACCATTCGGGTTGCTTGTTCTATTGGGGCGGGAAATATTGTTGCCATAACAGCCCCTTTCAAGGCGGGAAATTGCGCCCTAGAAAATGTAGAGAAACCCTTCGTGGCACAAAACTGCAATTAACCTTCCCCCTTTTGACTGTCGGGCCGTTTATCGTTTTAGGGGGTCCCGTTTTGAGAAATATTCTAAAAATTCTAGGGCTTCAAATAAAGCGGAAAAAAAGGGGTGGCCCCAATGTGGGGGAATGGGTCTGGTGGTCAGTGTGCCCCATAAAAAAAAAAATCCTGGGCCGCAGTGCATAATAGAAAAAAAAAACTCCGCCCTTTTTTTTTTAATTAAAATGCGTTTTTTGGGTCTATTTTCTTTTTTAAATTTTTGGTTGTATTTCGTTTTTTGGTCTCTTTTGATAGAATGGAAAACTATTCAGAAATAGAGATGTTTTTGTTTGATTTTACTATAAAAAAAACCTAGAAATGGAGCTAAAGTGGGGAAAAATGTTTGTTTTTCCCATTGTTCAAAAGTAAACAAATGATCCCATTGTCCAATAAATGCCCAACTATGATATGCAGTCATGAATGGGTTGATGTTATTTTTTCAGTTTTACAGATTGCATGTCTGCATAAAGAAGTCTAATTTTTTTGTTTGAATAAAAATTTTAAAAAAGAAAGCAAGAGTAATATCAGGGGGCCCGGAGACGTGACTGAGAACAAGAAAACGTTATTTTAGAGCCTGGAAAGTCTGCATTGTTCTTCTGGACCTTTTTTTGAAATTGTCATTTTTTTTTGTTTTTGTGGGAAATTTGGCCAAATTCAAATTTCTGACCACATTATTTGGGAGTTGAATCGTAAAAGGGCAGTTTTTTTTACTCAAACGATAGAAAAAAAAGAAGTTCTAAAGAAAAAGCTATGAGTTTGGGGGACTAGAACTGGAATTCCCAAAAAAAGGGCTCAAAGTGGGCGAAAAACGCCCTTTTTTAAAAAGCGCCCAGGTCGTAACTTCGCGGAGATAATTCCGTCGTTTTCCCTCAAATTTCGTTTTTTTTGGGGTATTACAAACGGGAAAAAAATTCTTTCATTTATAAGAAAAAATAATTTTTTTTTTTTTTAAATTTTGCGACCCAGGGACACCTCAGGATTGGGGGTTGCGACAGTCAAGGGGTTAAACGGTCCAAACGTATATATACGTCTTTTCAACATCTGAAAGTATGTAAAAAAAAGTAGATCTTTTTTGTTTTACATTTGAAAACGTGTAAAAAAAACTTTTATATTTTTTTTGTTATATTTGAAAATATGTAAAAAAAAGTAGATTTACTTTTGGAGCACTATGAATTTGAACGTTAATCTGTTTGGACCGTTTAAGGGTTAAACACCTCAGTTACTGGGAACACTTGAAGTTCGTCAACCTGTACTCGCTAGAATGCAGGCAGGAGAGATACATGATAATATACACTTGGAAAATCCTAGAGGGATTAATACCAAATTTGCAATTGAAACTCACTCCCTATGAAAGTGAAAGACTTGGTAGACGATGCAACATCCCGCCCCATGAAAAGCAAGGACACCACTAGCACGATGAGAGACAACACAGTAAGTGTCAGGGGCCCAAGACTGTTCATCTGCCTTCCAGCATACATAAGGGGGATTACCAATAGACCCTTGGCTGTTTTCAAGAAGGCATTCGACAGGCACCTAAATTCAGTGCCTGACCAGCCGGCCTGTGGTTTGTACATTGGGTTGCTTGCGGCCAACAGTAACAGCCTGGTTGATCAGGCCCTGAGCCACCATGAGGCCTGGTCACAGACGGGGCCACAGGGGCATTGATCCCCGAAACCCTCTCCAGATATTCTCCAGGTATATACAAAAAAAATAGAAGATTTACTGTTTTGCAGAGTACTGCATTATTGTAATACATAATTGTAGAAATAATGTCAGTGCATTCCTAAATGTGTATTAGACTGATAAATTGGACCCTTATTGGGCAAGTGATGTCATTTGTGTACTCTGAAATATTGGCAAAAATGGAACATTTCAGTTTCAAGCTACTTTCAGTCCTGAAACCAATCAAAATCATCTTTATTCCTGTAACATATCTTCTATTCTATCATTGGAAACTATAAAAACCATGTAAATGTACAGTGAAAACTCACTGTTTTAAAGCAAAAATATGGTCACAGTTTTTTTTTCCCATTATGCACTGTTTGCTGCAGGATTTTTTTTTTATATGGTGCATGCTTACTGCATAGACCTATTCTTTCTTCTCTGAATCCAAATTTACTGCTCACAGCTTATCAGAGTGAGCTGAGCTCGTGGCAAAAAACTATGGGACCAACCCTGGCTTCAGAGTTGTAGTACTGCAGGACTGACACTGAAAGGATTGAAAAGAGAAAAACAATCATGTGTCAATAAATTGTAAAATGTAAATGCCGCTGGCACTTTTACATCGCTGTTGCTGATTAGTGATAATTTTTTTACCAACTTCAGCACACAATAAAATCATAAGTTTTGAGTTTTTGCTCATTTTAGTCTTATTCGATTCAAAAAAACGAGCTCTGTCAATCTGTTTGAAAAAATATTTTTTTATTTTCCAATATCTTCCCCCAACACAGGAATTTTTTACCAAGTTAAAGATAACTATGTTGCCTGGTGGATCAGATAATAAAATACAATGCTGAGTAGTAACAAACTTCCCTAGTTTATGACAACCTTCAATACTTGCTATTATCATCAGGTATTTTCTGTGTTTCAGGGAAAGTGTGTTCCGAAGGTGTTGGTGCTGTCATCTCTGGTTTAGTGTTTCTCAGTAGTTCACTGACAGAGAAACTGCTGGGCCTACACACTGTGCCACCTCTCGACCGTTGCACTTACTATGGCATGGACAGTGGAGTACCGCCTCTACAGGTATCCTTCTTTACATAAAAGGAAACATTCACTGTGGGGGGTCCCTGCATTATATTAATGGGCTCTTGAGCCAAGGAATTTGGGTTTTTGTCCCATTGGATCAAACGTGATTGCTTCCCATTCTCTACAGGTGTAGCACTTCCCAACGAAGATAATAATAATAATAAAATAATAAAATACAGTCTTTCTTCACTTAACGCAGTTCCATTCCTAAGAGTAGGGTGGTAAATGAACTGGTCATTAAGCGAGGAGCATACTTTACTGGTAGTGGATTTGTGTTAACCATCTTTAGATAGGGAAGATAGGGAAGCTGTGATTTCGTGTATAGGACAAGGAGGAATAATATCTTGTAGGAGTGAGGAAGAGCCAGTTGTGAGTGTGGGGGAAGTTCGTGAGGCAGTAGGTAAAATGAAAGGGGGTAAGGCAGCCGGGATTGATGGGATAAAGATAGAAATGTTAAAAGCAGGTGGGGATATAGTTTTGGAGTGGTTGGTGCAATTGTTTTAAAAGTAGGGAGGGGGGTAAGGTCCCTGGGTTTGGCAGAGAGCATGCTATTTCCTTTGTATAAAGGAAAAGGGGATAAAAGAAGTAAAAAAAATTATAGGGGGTAAGTCTGCTGTTATACCTGGTAAAGTGTAGGTTGAGTTATTATTGAAAAAATTAAGAGTAAGCGGAAAATAGGTAGGTGAACAAGGAGGCTTTGGAAAGGTGGGGGGTGTGTGGACCAGGTGTTTACGTGAAACATATAAGTGAACAGTATTTAGAAAAGGCAAAGGGGTTTTTGTGCATTTAGGATTGGAAAAGGCTTTATGACAGGGTGGATGGGGGGGGCAATGTGGGATGTTGAAGTGTTGGTGTAGGGGGTAGGTTACTAAAAGCGTGAAGGTTTTTACGAGGATGTGGGGCCAGTTAGAGTATGTAGGAAAAAAGGGGAAAAAATTTCCAGTAAAGTAGGCCTTAGACAGGGTGTGTGAGTCACCGTGGTTGTTTAATTATTTATAGATGGGGTTGTAAGAAAGTAAATGCGAGGGTCTTGGCAATAGGCGTGGAGTTAAAGTAAAGAATCCACACAAATGGGGTTGTAAGCTGCTCTTTGCTGTGACACTGTGCTCTTGGGAGATTTGAAGAGAAGTTGCAGAGATGGTGGTGAATTTGGTTTTTGGGTGTGAAAAGAAGAAAATTAAAGGGAAACAGGAAAGAGTAAAGGTTTTGAGGATAACAAAAAGTTAGGGGGATGAAAGATGAATATCAATTGGAGGGAGGAGTATGGAGGAGGTGAATGATTCAGTATTTGGGAGTGGACGTGTCAGCGGTGGGTCTATAAAAAGATGGGTAAAATTAGAATTAGGGGGGGGGAAAAAGTGGTGGTGCACTTAGGAGTCTGTGAGACAAAAAATTTTTCCCTTGGAGGCAAAGAGGGGATGTATGAGAGCATAGTTTTCCCAACCTCTTATAGGGGTGTGAACATGGGTGATGAATGTTGGTGAGGAAAAGGGTGGAGGAGTGGAGATGTCATGTTAGGGCAATGTGGGGTGGGGGAAATAATGCAGGATTGTATTTTGGGAAGTTAGGAGGGGGCGGGTTTCCCAAAATGTTGCCCAGGGGGTGGGGAAAGGGTTGTTGAGGTGGTTTGGAATGTAGAGGAATGGGGAAATAGAATGACTTAAAGGGGTGTTCAGTTTTTTAGGGGAAAAGGAAGGCGGGGTGGGGTCGGCCTGGGAAAGGTTGGAGAGGGGGGGTTTAAAGGAGGTTTTTTGTGTGCGAGGGCGGGACTTCAGAGGTTGCGTGAGCGTGTTTGATAGGGTAAATGGAGACAAATGGTTTTAATATTGCGTGCTGTTGGAGTGTGAGCAAAGTAAATTTATAAAGGGGTTTTTGCCCGGGGCGGACTTGGTCCTGGGATGGGAAGTCGTGCCTGCATCTGAGGGGGGTGTTAATGTTGCAGTTTAAAAACTGTAGTGAAAGCACCCTTCTGGCAAACAGTGAGGAGGAAATGATGGTGAAAGTTTTTTTTTTCGGGCCCCCCTGCCTCGGTGGGAATCGGCCGGGTGTGTAATAAATAAAAAAAAAAAAAATCTTTAATACTGTTTTAATATCCCTTTGACCATTTTTTAACATTTTTTTTTATTTTTTGTTTATGCAGTAGTGTACTGTAATTGTAATAAAAGAAATTTTAACTTTTTTTTTTAAAGCACCGGCCCTTCTCACCCAAAACAAGGTGAGTAAAAAAAAAAAACTTGTTTTTCTTTTTTCAGTAGTAAATTTTTATAGGACAAAGAGTTCTATCCCCTTTCCCAAAAAGAATTTATAAATTTCAAAAAAAAATTTAACAGCAAACCCTAACTCCGTAAATTTGCCATGTTTTCCCCCTGGAAAAAAGTTTTTGACTAGAAAAAAAAGTCAACAGTTCATTGGATCTCCATGCAGAATTAGTATCCAACCACAGCCATGTGGTCAAATCTTTGGAATCCCCCGGATGCAATTTGTGCATTGGCAATTTTTGGGCCCCTTGAGTCCTGTTTTCAGTATTCAACCCGATTCTGAGCTATTTTGCTAGTATGCCTCGTTTTATTACAAAATTTGGGAGTAAATTCACCATATTTTAAAATTTTTTAACCTAATTTTTGATTTTTTTCATCTTTTTTTAAAAAAAAATTTTGTTATATACATTGGGAAATTTCACACCTTTAAAAAATTAAAAAATTTTTTTCCCCTTAACAATTCTATATAAAATTTGAAGTAAACTAACTAAACTAATGGGCTATACCTCATTTTTTGGAGTAAAACCCCCCTTTTTTCTTTTTTTATGCCCCTTTTTTTGTGAAGTGATTTTTTTTTTTTTTAAATGTATGAATGGATTGTAGAAGACCTAAAAAAGTTGTAGAGTCAAAAATATTGGCTGGTTGTAGATTTGAAAGTGCAAAAAACTGTGTACAGTAGAAGCCTTGTATCCATGGATTTGGTTTCCATGGTTTCAATTATCTACGGTTTACTATGGCCTGAAAATTACTTTTAATTTTGCTTAATAATGGTCCAAAGCACAAGAGCAGTGATGGCAGTTCTTCAGATCCCAAGAGAAGCCATAAAGTGCTTCCCTCAGTGAAAAGTGATAATTCTCCACTTATTGTGCATAATTTATCAATTAAACTTTATCATAGGTATGTCTGTAAATGAAAAAGAACTTATATATAGGGTTTGCTGCTATCCACAGTTTTGGGTATTCATGGTAGGTCTTGGAGCATATCCCTTGTGGATACGAGGGGACTACTGTACTAGTACAGTACTTAGAACACCCAGTCATCAGATACATAATATTACATTAATAATAATAATAATAATAATAATAATACCTAGGTAGTAGGTTGGTTAACAGCAACTGCCCAGGGAGGTACTACCATCCTGCCAAATGAGTGTACAACGAAAACCTGTAATTGTTTTACATGATGGTAGGATTGCTGGTGTCTTTTTTCTGTCTCATAAACATGCAAGATTTCAGGTACGTCTTGCTACTTCTACTTGCACTTAGGTCACACTACACATACATGTACAATCTTATATACACACACCCCTCTGGGTTTTCTTCTATTTTCTTTCTAGTTCTTATTCTTGTTTATTTCCTCTTACCTCCATGGGAAAGTGGAACAGAATTCTTCCTCCGTAAGCCATGCATGTTGTAAGAGGCCCTACACACCCACCACCTCAAGCTGATCACATCATCATGAGGAGCCAGTCTATCAACATCCTGTCGGCCAACATTAGAGGTTTCATTATTAATGTTGGAGAGCTCACACACAGTTTTGTGAACACTCAACGTCCCGACATGATAGCTGTTGTTGAAACATTTTTGGATGACAGGACTCCAGAAAATTTTGCAAGAATTGCTGGCTACACCTCATGGATGAGAAGAGACAGGCAAGGGCAAGGAGGAGGTGTTGCTGTGTGCTTCTCTAAACAGTGTTCATGCCCAGCACATTGATGTTGCCACCCCTACACATCTTGAAATGATGTTCTTCAAGCTCTGCATCAACACTAGTACCTCTGTACTAGCATGTGCAATGTACAGACCTCAGTGGCAACATGCAGACCCCATCAACTTCCTAATGGAAAATATTGACTCCCTTCTGCTACAACACAACTGTCAACATATCATAATTGTTGGTGACCTCAACCAGCACCTTATACAGAGGGACTTTGATGGCCTTCTTGCAGTGTTTGACATGTGAAACTTTGTTGATTTCCCTACTCACATCTCTGGCTCCTCCCTTGACCCAGTAGTGAGTGATCTGGCAGAAGGCATAGTCACTTGTCAACCCCTCGGCTATGTTGGATCGTCTGACCACAAGGCTGTTTTTACGACACTTAAGATCCCAACAGAACGAGGTGAGGAGTCCACACGCACAACCTGGCTATGGGAAAGAGGTAATTGGCCAGCCCTTTGCTCTGAGCTTGCCACCACCAATTGGAATGCTCTTCTCCAAGGGGATGTTGACAACCAAGTGAAAGCCTTCACTGGACACATCCTTAATCTACAACAAGAACACATTCCTCACCGGCAATATGTGACGAAGCCTACGGATCAGCCTTGGTTTAGCTTTCGTTGTAGAGAGGCTGCTACTGCTAAGTACAAAGCATGGCGAAGGTATAAGAGACATCCTACCACCTATAACAGGAACTTGCACAGGCAAGCCTGTAGACATATGGGTGACATTCAAAAGTGGGCCATTGCTAAATGGGAGGTGGACACTAAAAGAAAGCTAGCATCAGGTAGGGTAGGCTCCAAAACCTGGTGGTCCCTGGTCAAGGACAGACAAGGTTACCTGCCTGATGAACTCATTCCACCTCTAAATCGACAGGATGGGACCACCTCTACTAGTAGTCAAGAGAAGGCGGACCTCTTTGCTGAACACTTTGCTACCAAAATGCAAGTTCCTGATCCAGCAAGGGACCCTCCTTGGCTAGCTGCAAGAACTGTGTCAAAACTGTCAGTGGTGACAATAAGGCAGGAGGAGGTGCATTTCCTTCTTAAATCGCTTGACCAAGAAAAGGCTGTGGGCCCAGACAAGTTGAGCCCAAGATTGCTGAGAAGATGTGCAGACCAGCTAGCAGCACCTCGAACTCGCATCTTTCAGCACTGCCTAGCACAGTGTAAATGGCCCTCTCTATGGAAAGAGGCAAATGTAGTCCCTGTTCACAAAAGAAGAGCAGAGCAGAAATCAGCAACTACAGACCAGTGTCACTCCTGTCAATCACTGGTAAGATCCTTGAGACAATAATCTCAAGACAAATGACAGAGTTTTTTGACTATCACTCACTACTTTGTGATCGTCAATATGGCTTCAGGAAAGGTTACTCTGCTGCTGATCTGTTGTTAAACCTCTCCACTAAGTGGCACCAGTCACTGGATGAATCCAAAGTCAGCTGTGTAGTAGCACTGGACATTGCTGGTGCTTTCGACCGGGTGTGGCACCAGGGCCTCTTAGCAA